ATAAACTTTCTGTACTAACCCCTGCCAATGGAGAAGCAGTAAATACTTCTTATGACTGATCTTTTATCCCTACACTCCCCCCACCACTTCACAACAATCTCTTATATAGTCAATGTAGGTTCAGTGTCAATAATTTTCTGCTGGTAGTTGTGGGATCTTGTGCCAGGACTTGGTCCTTTTTGTGTAGCAGCTACAGTGACTCAATAACCCTTATTTTTTGGCTGCCTGGTCTGTGAATGTCTTCCTCAAGTTCGGCAGGGGATTTTTTCCCCCATTTTCTGAGTCTTGATGGGAGCTTCACCCCACCTTTCACAACAAAAGACAGGCCCTCCTCCTCCCATCCCTTAGCTAGGGCATGGGCAGGACCAGAGGGCGCACATGAGTGGACTCAGCCAATGAGACACAGACTTCCAGGTCTAAGCCTGGGAGCCAGTGACCTCAGAAGTGAGGACTTGGGGATTCCTTTCCAACAGCTGCAATTGTGGCAGCAAGGTTGGACCTGCAGCAGGGCCAACAGAGCAGGGTGAGGGCGCCCTCTGGTGTTCGGCAGTGGAATAATTACCCACTTCCTTCTGTAGTTTGATCTTGGTGGTGCTCTGCGCCAGGGATCTCCAACCTATCAATTATGTGAGCTACCCAATATCCTTTTAGTAAGTCCCTCTTATGTTTAAGGCACCCTGAGTCAGTTTCTGTTGCTTGCCACCAAGAATACAAGCTGATACTGACAGGAGTTAGAGGCTTGAGTCAGTTAATGTTCTTAGCAACTTCTCTCTGCATCTAGTTGGTATCTTTACCAAGTTTCTTGTATGGTCGAGGGGCCAGGGATCTAGAGGTTTTAAAATTGTTTCCTTATAATTCTATGACTAGGGAGTAATAAAAGGGTCTTTTCTCCTTGGGCTTCATTGGAAATTCCTGGGGAGGTTCTCCAGTAGGCTATGCTGAACCACATACCCCTTCTCAGACCAAGCACTGCTGTGTCCCCACAAAATCCACATATTGAAACCAAATACCCAACGTGAGGTTGGCTCTTTTGGGAAGTGATTAAGTTACATAGGGGCCACCTTCAGAGGTGGAATTAGCCTTATAAAAGAAGGCACCATCTTTGAAGCAGAGAGAAAGCCCTCACCAGACTCAGAATCTGTTGGTTCCTTGATTTTGGACTTCCCAACCTCCAGGACTGTGAGCAACACATTTCTGTGTTTTAGAAATGCAGTCTAAGGAATTCACTGTAGTAGTAGGAATGGACTAAGACACCCTGTGACTCAGGGGTTGGGAACTAAGATGGGAGGAGGGAGAATTTTTCACTAGAAGAACAGTAGGAACAGGGTTTCTGGACAAACAGTGAAAAATCACCTCCTTCCACTCATCAGCTTACGCATGCTTTTCTGCATACATGTAATTTCAAGAATGGCTCCATCTAACACAGTGCAACTCAAAACCCACTCATTCCCCAAAAGAAACAACCCCAAATCACATCCAGCTCAGTGTTTAGGATCTTTAGATGAGGTGTATTTTTCTGTATCTTTTTTTTTTTCCTACTAGGGTGGAACTCAGGGTCTCACACTTGAGCCCCACCCCCAGCCTACATTTCTGTACATCTGCCACATCTATGTGTTCATGGACATAGTGTATAATCATTGTTTAATTCCTGATCTGTGTTGGTCAGCTTTAAGTACTGTAACAAATATTTGAGATAACAAACTTATTGAGAGAGAAGGGTTGTTTTGGTTCACAGGCTTAGAGTCTGATTGGTTGACACATTGGTTTGGGCCTGTGGTGGCCCATCACGGTGTGAGCATATGGGAAAGCAAAACCTTTGCTTGCTTCCTGGACAGGAAGAGAAAGAGAGGGGTAAATACAAGGGTCCCATAATCCCCTCCGAAGGCACACTCTGAATGTTATCTGGAGACCTCCCACTAGGCTTCACATCTCTCTTTCTCTCTCTCTCTCTCTCTTTTTTTTTTTTTCAGTACTGGAGTTTGAGCTCAGGGCCTCATACTTGCTAGGCAGGTGCTCTACCACTTGAGCCACTCTGCCAGCCCTTTTTTGTGTTGGGTATTTTCGAGATAGGATCTCTTGAACTATTTGCCCTGGCTGACTTCGAACTGTGATCCTCCTGATCTCTGTCTCCCCAGTAGCCATGGGTTCCCGGCTAGGCATCACCTCTTAAAGGTTACACTGCCTACCAACAGTGGGGACTGGGACCCAGACTTTAACACATGGACCTTGGGGACACTTATCTAAACCATAGCATGTTCCCAGCAATGGAAAACACTCTTTGGATGATGTAATAAGGGTACCTTTCTCTCCCACATCTCCTGTTGGAATTCCTCTATCTTTATTTTCCTGGTTGAGCTGACAGGAACTATGGGAAGGCTGCCCCCGGGAAACCATCTCACTTCAGTAGCTAACTTTGATGAGTATGGTTACTAGAAACTGGATTATTTTTGGCTTGCAAATTTCTGGATGCAAAATGTAATGCCCTAATTTTTTTGAATGTCAGTTTTATTTTAAGGGACATCCGAAGTATTCTATACTATAAACTCTGTAGGCAAAAGATTGCATTTGGACTTTAATTTTGTAGTTCCTCTGTTTTTGTATCAGCCTGAGGGACATGCTCATAAATTCCACACAATTCTATAATGTTTATTATTCCCATTAAAATGCATATGCTGCTGAGCCTGGCGGCAGTGTGCTGTGGTAATCCCAGCACTCAGTAGGTTAAGGCGGGAGGATTGTGAGATCAAGGCCAGTCTATGCTACAGAGAGAGAACCTGTCTCAAACAAACAAACAAAAGGCATGCACTGAGGTGTAGGGGTTTTAAACAACTTGCTTAATGTTAAAGGGTGACTAAGGGAAAAGGCTGGGATGGAAATTCAGAACTGCTTGGAACCTAAGTCTCTTGAGTCCATGACATCGTGCAGTTCTGCTTAAGGGGTCTGTGTCTGAGTGCTGTGGGGAGGCAGGGAAGAGCTGAAGGAACTCTTTTCAGGGGACCCTGAGGGTCATAGGCATGTGCTGGCTGCTGTTGGGTAAAGGTCTGAGCTTATAGGGACCTCAGGAGAATGTACTCTTGACAGACAAGGGTACCATGTGATTGTCGTGGTGGTGGTCAGTGCCTGTGGTATTGGGGAAACACTGAACCCAAGTGACATCCTGAGAAGCAGATGTTAATGAGGGGAATGGGACTGGATGAGCATGACAGCATTATTCTCAAGCTCATTCAAGATCACTCCAGAAATGCTCAGAGACAACTGGAGAAGACTAAGAGAGGTCAGTGGCTCTGCACTATGTAAAAAGGTCATTCTAGATAATATAAACACATCTGTAGTCTGCTGTGGTCAGCGATGAAAACTTGGAACTACAAACTTGCCATCCCCAATTATTAGCTAACCAGCTAGTGCGCAGAGCCTCTGGCACAAGCCAACTTCCCTCCTACTTCACACCCTTCATTCCCACCCCTGCCAGCCTCTGGGCACTCTGCAGTCTGGAGTAGTCCCCCCCGCCTTTTTTTTTTAACTACTTGCAGCCTAAAAAGTTCTCACAGTTGAAATGCGAAGTGAAGAAAATATGATGAAAATTATATGTAAATGTAGATGCCAGTTATCCTAAAATATGTCATAAAAAAAAAGAAACTGGAAGGAGGTGCACCAAAATGTTGACTGTGGTTAGGGATTGAAAGTAAATTTGCATTCTTCATTATAATTTGTTGACGTTTTAACATTTTCTATTATCCCAGGAATTTCTTTTACAATTATTTCCCTCCAGGTATATTTCCTGGAAGCACAGTCTGAGACAGGGAGTCAGGGGACAAATGATTTGGGGAAGATGTGCCCTTGAGGAGACACCTGTTAGGCACAGAGAGAGGCAGGACGTCAAGGGACTGCCACGCAAGGATGTGGCTCAGGTCAAGTTCAGCCTTAGCTTGGTTTGGGGGCGGGCTGTGGAGTGTTGAGTGCCATAAAACACAAAGGACCTGACCTTTTGTGTGCCTAAATAGAGAAGTCCTTGGCTATTCCGATTGGTGGGGCGCAACCTTCTGGGTGGTTTCCAGGTGAGGTGGTTCCTGCTAGCCAAGGGTGTTTCTCCAAGAAGGCAGACACCTGAGCCTAATGCACCAGCACAGGCACATTGGCTGCTGAAGGGCCTTTGGTGCTAACAATGTCTACAACAATTATTTCGAGTTTGTTAGAAGTCAAAAGAAAGCAAAATACCAGATTGACCCTATGGAGGCCAGGTCTCTCCTCTTACACTCTGCTGTCTACACCTTCTTGTTGGTGTCATTGAAATTGTTAACAATTGCAGAGGTCTTGGTTCTAGGTTACAGAAAGAAATAGGATGACCTGCTGAGTTGTACATACACTGTCTCTAAACATGGAACTCTATCACAATCATCATGGAAGAAAACAGGGTGTGTTTTTCACTGATTTTAGAATCTTGGGCCCTTTACAAAATTAAAGTAGAAGCTTTAAAAATTTATCCAAGGGCTGGAGGTGTAGTTCAGTGGTAGAGCACTTGCCTGAGTTTGATTTCCTGCTCAGAAAAAAAAAATCAACTTGCATTTTGGTGTGATCTGGAGTTTTTATTTGCCCTTTGCAAAATGAAAGTAGAAGTTTAAAAATGTATCTCTTGACTTGGGATGCTATGCGATGTGGGATTTTGGCTTCTATGGAGCCTACTTGGCTCACTGATTCCAGCCTTGTAGGGTTTTCTAAGTGGCTGACCTGCTTCTTTCGGTTAGATAACTACTGCTGGAGAAGGCAGTGAGTTCAAGTGACTGGGAATCCTATATCCTTCCCCTGCCCATTCTCCCAGGGGATTCTTCTCCAGTGCCATGGAATGTCCCTGTGGTCTTTGAGCATGGCTACCATGGAGCTGGAAATGGTGAGGTTCTGTTGCTCTGGCAACTGGTTGCCCACAGTCTGTATTGGCGCAGCAGAGGTTCTGGGAGGAAGAGCACGGAAGCAGGTCATAGTGTTGACCCCCTGGTCATTCAGCTATGCCCAGGCTGTCTGTGTTCATAGATGTGATCTTAGCTCAGAAGCTAGAAGGTGGCTTGTTAAATATCTACAAACAAGATGATTACCCTCACAAAGTGTTCCTGGCCTACAGAGGTACGTGCTGCTTGTTTTGGAGTTGTATATATATAACTCGCTATAAATATACATACATATATATATATATATATATATATATATATATATATATATAGCGACTGCCTGTAGACAGCCAGTATTCCACTACCTCAGAGGAATGGGAGATGACCCATGTCTCTGCAGGTGGAAAGATCTTTGCTTGTTAACAGAATTGCTCAGAGGGGAAAACAGCAGAGAAAGTCCCAAGTCATCCCCTGGCCTCTGCCCTACTCTGCCTGCATGGGTCCTACCCTTTCTTTAGCTGCCATCTCCTCATCTTCTTTCCTTCCCATCCTCCCTCTCATCCTCTTTCTTTTTCATTCCTGAACCAAGAAAGATTCCCTAAATTGACCCTTCTGCTATGCAACCTTGTCATTGTGAAAGTCAGGGTTACCTTTGTTTAGTTTCTTGTATGAATAACTCCCACGTTGTGTATAACTTTAGCCTTTAAAACAGCGTAATGGGTTGGTGGTGTGGCTCAAGGGGTAGAGCACTTGCTTAGCACGCACAAGGCCCTCAGCTCCATCCCTGACACTGCAGAACAACAAACCCAGATCAAAAACTAGCAGAGGTTGTAGATTTTTTTTTAAGACAAAAATGATATACTTTGAGTTAACAGCACAGTTTTTGGAAGGAAGGAGGGAAAGAAAGAAATAAAAAGAAAAGAAGAAAAAGAAAGAAAGGAACCCAGGAAATTGTCTTTTCACAGGCAACTTTCCAAAGTTCCAAGCAGCCCAGGATAGACATTTTTTGTGGGCTGCCTGCAGAGCCTGGACTCTGAGGCCCTGAGGCAGGGCACCCAGAGCTTCGTCTGCACTTTCCCCTACAGTCTGCATGACCAATGAAGGTCACCCCTGGGTTTCTTTCGTGGTGCACAAGACCCGCCTGCATATTGCACAGGACCCCTCTCTGAACTATGAGTATCTGCCCACGAAGGGCATGAAATCATTCATCCAGGCCTCCTTGGAACTCCTCTTTGGAAAACACAGCCAAGCCATTGTGGAGAACAGGGTGAGACGCAGGGAGAGGACATCCAGGTTTGCATAACCTCACAGCTGCAAGGGACTGTGGAGGGTACTTGGCCTTGATAATGTAGCACCCAGGACTCAGAAAGTCCACAGTTTTAGCCATTAAGGGTCATTGTCAGAATCTGAACCCAAGGCTGACACTACTTGCACCCACTCATACTGCTGATTTGAAAGCTCAAGAAAGAGGGACTGGGGTGTAACTCAGTGGTAGAGCACATGCTTAGTATGCTTGAGGCCTTGGGTTCAATCCTCAGCACCCCCAAAAAACTGAGTCCTAGATGATGTTCATATTCCCTTTACTTCTTTGAAGTGTTGCTTCTGATGGGTTTTTTGCTGGCAGGTGGGGGGTGTACACACTGTTGGTGACAGTGGTGCCTTCCAGCTTGGGGCCCAGTTTCTCAAGACTTGGCACAGGGATGCTCAAGCAGCTTGCATCATCTCATCTCAAAAAGGTGAGTGTTACACAACATGAGAGCAACTGGCTCCTTCCCTAATTCCCACTCCACTTGCAGTCCTCACTGTGTCCCCCACTCTCTGTCAGCAGAGAAATGGCCAAGCCAAGCTACACCTCTCCTTTTCCTATCATTGTCCCATCGCCAGCCAGTGAAATGGGGACAGCTCCATTTTTCAGTCTCTCTGCCTCTACCTCTCCATTTCCATGTGCACAGCTGGTGGGGTCTGTTCCCACAGAACCACATGGATTCATCTTCCAGGACATGGGCTTCAAGGTTTATGAATACTGCATCTGGGATACCAAGAAGCTGTGCCTGGACCCCAACATGCTCCTTGATGTGGTAGAGGTAAAGGGGCCCCCTTCGAGAAACTTCTTCCCAGACTTGACTTATAGTCTTATTTGACTCTCTTTTTCTGCTCCCCCAGTCACCCAAGGCCTTATCTAGGCTTCGATTTACTGGCCCGTTAGTAGGAACCAACATGGAGGAACACTTCTCCTCCAAATGCCCACTTGGTAGAGGAGGCACCTGATGAGACAGTCTCTGCCTGCAGAATATCCCACATGGTAGTATCCTGGTGATTGGCGACATTTTCAACTGCAAGTTGACACAAAGTCAGTGGACAAAGCTGATGTCTACCATTAAGGTGAGCTGAGCATCCCACCAGCATTTCCTTTCTCTCTTCACCCTGTCTCCTCCACCAACCTCATGCTGTTTTGGTTTTCCATTCTCCTACAGAGCAAGCAGCTATTTCCATTTTTTGATATTCCCTGTCAAGGCTTATACACAGGTGACCTGGAAGAAGATACTATCTTCTTACAATACTTTGTGGCTCAAGGCTTTGAGTTCTTCTGCAGCCAGTCTCTCTCCAAGAACTTTGGCATTTATGGTACAGTGTGGGCAGGAGAAGGGATGGTCTGGTGTGGAGGTGGTGCCACACTCATAGCACAAGCCATATTGTCCTCAAAGGGAGCCCAGAATCCCAGAGAGAGCACAATGGAGACAGAAGGGAAGATAATTAAGCTAGAAGTTGAGTTCTGTTACTAAAAGTAGCTTCTCAACCTACCCTGGTCAATCATTTCACTCCTTGGGCCTCAGCTGCCAGATGAGAGGGTGGGACTTAGTGTTCTTTCAAGTTCCTTCCTCCATGAACACTCTCACCTAATGGCTACTTTTCTGAACAAAGAGGCCCTGGCAACTTCCGAGATCCCACTGCCCTCCTGGCTGGGCTGGGACAACGGCTCCATAGTTTAACCCTGCCTTCTGCAATGTTGAGGGAGAGGTGAAGGTCCTGGCCATGAAGGAGGAAACTGACGGTAAGGCTGTCTCCCTAATGCTGCAGATGAAGGAGTGGGAATCTTAGTTGTGGCGGCACTTGACAACCAGCACCTGCTGTGTGTCCTCTCCCAGCTGATGAACTGTGCTCAGGCACTGTGGCTAAACCCTCCTGCCACAGGGGCTCGCATCATCACCTCCATTCTCTGTAACCCTGTCCTGCTGGGAGAATGGTAAGGGTGAAATGTTGGGCAGGGAAGGGTAGGCAGAGCCCTTGGACACCCACAGGATATCTTGCTGGGTCACGGGACTCATCTGGGTGCTTCTTTCCCTGCCCATTGAGCCTCTTTATCACACTTATTCATCAGTGCATTCATCAAATTTTACTGAGGGCCTGTTGTGTACTAATGTCTGCAGCTATGCCAAGGGTTGCCCTACCTTGGGGGAGTGGACAATAGGACATTCATTTTGGAGGTAAGCCAATGAGTTAATTGATCATGTCCAGATTGCAGGAGCCATTTGCTCTTCTGGCAAAATCTGCATGCTTAAGTCACTCAACTTTCTGTTACTGTAACACAATGCCTGAGACAATCAACTTAAAAAGTGGAAAAATTTGTTTTGGTTTATAGTTTTGGAGGTTTCAGTTTATGGTCAGTCGACCCTGTTTTTTTTCCCCTTTGTTTTTTTTTTATTAGCATATATTAATTGTATAAAACTATGGGTTTCATTTTGTCAGATGGCCCTATGGTTTGGGCCTGTAGTAAGGCAGCACATTATGGCAAGGATTGTGTGGGAACAAGCTCCTCACCTCACCTCCTGGTGGCCAGGAAGCAAAGAAAGGAAGAGGAAGGGGCTGGGCACATCCCTAATGACCTCACTTCCTCCCAATAGGCCCCGCCTCTTAAAGGTTCCACCACCTCCCAATAGCACCATAGGCTGGGGACCAAGCCTTTAACACATGGACCTTTAGAAAACATTTAAGACCAGAAAGTGTAGCAGGATCAAACCACCCTCCCATTCATACCCACTCCAGAGCCCAGGCTCCACTGAGTGCCCTCAGGCACTCAGATAAGGAAGATAAGAGGAGGTTGAAAGCAGGGAAGATTTCACAGCTCATTTCCTGTTGTCCTTCCTTGGCAGGAAGCAGAACCTGAAAAGGCTGGTAGAGAACATCATGCTGATTAAGGAAAAGGTGAAGGAGAAGCTCCGGCTCCTGAGGACTCCTGGCTCCTGGAATCATATCACTGAGCAGATGGGGACCCATGCCTATCTGGGACTCAGTCGTAAGTGTCCAGGGTGGGGTGGCTCACTCCTTTCTGACGTTGGGCCTGTATTTGAGCATTAAACTTCACTGACAAGGTTACCAGTCCAGATCTTCACATTTCTTTGGGAAATTAAGACACACCCTACCCCCATAAAATCCTGTCTGGACTTGAGGGAATGAGAGATGGCCACCCCAAGCTCTGAGATCTGATGATTGTCACAGACCAACAGGTGGAATACCTGATCAGGAAGAAGCACATCTATATCCCCAGGACCAGTAGGATCAACTTCACCTGCATCAACACCCACAACGTGGATTACATCACCCAGAGCATCAACGAGGCTGTGCTCTTCACAAGCGGCGCCGAGAGGGGTTTTCCCAAAGCAGACAAACCTTGATTAGAATAAAAGCTTTAGTCTTTGCAAAAATCCCATGATAACTTTTCATTACTATAACTCTTTTTTTTTTTTTGGTGGAACTGGGGTTTGAACTCAGAGCTTTGTACTTGCAAACTAGGCACTCTACTGCTCGAGCCACACTACCAGTCCATTTTGCTCTGGTTACTTTTGGAGATAGGGTCTCATGAACTGTTTGCCTGGGCTGACCTTGAACCACAATCCTTTTTATCCCAGCCTCCCAGAGTAGCTACGATTACAGGTGTTAGCCACCAGGGCATGGCTCAATTCATTCTTTTTATCTATTGGCCATTTCAACTTTTCTTTTTTTCTTTTATTTGGGGCTGGGGTTCGAACCCAAGGCTTGTGCATCCTAGATGAGCACTCTCCCACCAAGGTACATTCCTAGCCCCATCTCATATTTTTCCTTTTTCCTCCTCCTCTGGGGTACTGGGGATTGAACTCAGATCCTCAAAAGCACTTACCACTTGAGCTACAACCCCAGTTCTTCTGCTTTTCTGTTTGTTTTTCAGTTAGGGTCTCACACTAATTTTGCCCAGGCTGATCTCAAACCTCAATCTTCCTACCTCTACCTCCTGAGTAACAGGGTTATGGGGGTGTACTACCACACTAGGCTTATCTTTGAGATAGGGTCCTACTAACTTTTTGTCCAGGCTGGCTTTGAACCAGGTTCCTCTTGTATATCCCTCCTGAGTAGCTGGAATTACAGGCATGCTCCATCACTCCCAGCTCCATCTTATATTTCTTGAGCACTTATGATGCTAAGGTCCTGAACTGGGGATTGTAGGAATGTAAAAATACAGGTACAATCCAGTCCTTTTTCTCCAGAAATTTCCAGTCTAGTTGGGAGATAAACCTTAGTCACATGAAAACAGTTAAGTAACATTTCAAGGCTGAATGTGATAAAAGTCACAATAGATTAGATAGGCAGAACATTTGTTCAGAACTTAGAAAAGAAATATCTCAATATGGGCTGGAGTAGCTAAGGAAAATCTTAGGAGGAGGTAGGACTTGATTTGGATATTGGTGGATGGATAGGATTGGGATAACAGGTGAAAGGGAGGTGGAAGTAAGACAGAGGGCCCCTGGAAACCACTCCAAGGTGACCTCCCTGTGACCTTAAAGGGTAGAAAGAAGGAAAAGCAGAAAAACAGAATGACAACACTATGAGGACTAGGGCACAGCCAATCAAAATGTTACAAGCTCAGCCAACTGGAATGCTGCTTTCTACACACCTAATCAACATAGAGGTTGAGCAGGGCCCTGGAGAGAGGATGGATAAAACCCTCAGACCATGTCACTTCTCTGGGAAACCACTTCGGACCCCTCCTTTCCCGTGGGAGCCTCATTCTTTTCCTTAATAAACCTTCCGATCTGTGTGCTCACCCTTCATTGTCCGCGAAGTTCATTCTTTGGCTTTGTGAGACAAGAACTTGGAACAGCAACCCTCCCTCTGTCTAAACACCTAAGTCAGCAAAGTTGAGTGGAGGCTTTTTGGTCCTGCACAAATCTCCCATAACAGGATATCCTAGATTTGGGAACAACCTGAGCAAGTGCCACTGGAGTGATAATAATAATAATAAACCAATGTTTTCTGGGTAGCTTCTAACACATGGAACTCTGTAAACCCCCAGGATACAAGTGGCATAAGACACAGTTGCTTGGATGGCTCAAATGGTAGAACACCCAGCAAGTGCAAGGCCAGGAGTTCAAACCCCAGAACTGCCAAGGAAGACAGAGAAAAAGAATGAAAGAAGGAAGGAAAGAAGGAGAAAAAAAGAAAAGACAAAGACACAATTGCTACCCTTATAGGGCCTTCTACTTTGGCTGGGGAGAAACAGCTTAAATGGTTGAAAGGAAAAACTTTTCTCTGTTCTGCTGCTCTCAGTTCTGACATTAGATTGCAGAGGTTCCCCCTGCCCCAATTCAATTCCACTCATCATGAACAGCACCTAACACTATCTACCTGGAGTTAGCACCCAATCCCAAAGGTTAAGGGCTCAGTCCCACAAGACTGACCATACTTTAGATGCCAGTCCCAAGTCCAGATTGTCCCCCATGCTTCTGACTGACCAGCTATAAACTGGAGGTTCCCACAACTCTCCCTTTGGGTTCAATGGCTAGAATGGCTCATAGAACTCAGGAAAGAGTTTACTTATCAGGTTACTACTAGTTTATTATAAAAGGATACAACTGAGGAACAGCCATATGGAGGAGATGCGTAGGGCAAAGCATGAAGGAAGGGGCAGGGACATCTCCATGTGTGACAGTCTCCCAGGTTTAGTGAGCATTTGCCAGTCTGGGAGCAATCCAAATCCCTAAGCTATGGTTTTTATGAAGCATGGTTGATCAAATCATTGGCTGTGAACCTGCAGTCCCTCTTCCTTAGGAGGCTGGGGGGGGGTGCAGGTAAAAGTTCTAACTCTCTAATCACATGGTTGGTTCCCCTGGCAATTAGCCTTCCATCATTAAGGACTTCCAAAAGTCACCTCATTCATTCAGGTGTGATTGAGGGGACTTGCTATAAGTAAAAAATGATGTTACTTTCACTGTTAGACCTCTGTCACTTAGGAAATTTCAAGGGTCTTTGGAGCTCTGTGCTAAGAGCTGGTCAGGGACCCTGTATCTATTTCTTATTATAAATGACAACATCACAATGCTAAGAATGTAGCTAATAATAAAAGGTGACACGTACTAAGTGCTAATGTGTTTCAGTAAAGGGTTAACCCAGGAGGACTTAGTTGCCCAGACTCTGCATAGTCTGTGTCTTCAGGACTGGCCCTTGACTGGCTTCTAGGAGATGCTTTTGTGACCTTGGCCTGTCTGTTGCCTGACATGCCTTGGTAAGCCTGAGGTCCTGGGATGTGCTCAATCAGCTGGCCTGGGTGTGTGGGGGGGGGGAGGCGCAGTGGAGGCTGAACAGTATAGTAAAGGTGAGCTACGTGGGAACTACATGCCTGTGTGATTGAACCCCAATAAAAACTATGAGTGGCTTTGCTGGTTGGTAACACTTCATCCGTGCTGCCACACGTTCGTGCTGAGAGAATCAAGCACTGTCTGTGTGACTGTAGGGGGAACAATGCTGGATGCTTCTGCCTGGCTTGCCCAGGGCTCCATCCACACTGGGTGCCTTTTTCCTTTGCTGATTTTCTATCTGCATCCTGTCACTGTAACAAACTATAACCATCTCACAGCTTTGTGGGTGCTGTGAGTCGGTCCAGTGATCTCTGAAACCTGCAGGTGGCTTTGGAGACTCCACGATACACATTAAATTAGACGCAGAGCTGGGTCCAGCACAAAGACTCAGGCAAATTCACGTTCAGTCCCTGCCACCTGTGAAGACTGTTCTTGCAGGGGGTGCAGTCAAGTCAGCAGCTTCATGGAATTGGGCTTGAGAACTCAGAAGCTACCTGCTAAGGCTAGTGGGCTCCTGCCTGGAAAAGAAATAGTTCCCTCCTCCGTATGTAATCCCTACAGAGCAAGCAGAGCTGCTGTTCACAGGTCTTGTGAAGAGGAGGACGGCAAGCAAGTTCATGGTCCAAACACAGCCATCTCTTCTGGTTTTCTGTTGTTTGCAAATGGAGTTGTGAGGAGCTATTTTGACCTTAGGTAGTCAGGGCTGGGGACCACAAAGGAGCTGCTAAAGTCAGCAAGAAGCATGTTAGGCAAAAGAACAGAGAGCACAGCTAGCCCTGAGAATGCCAAGGTGGGCTCAGAGTAGAGAGGGGCTAAGGCTCCCACCTATTGGAGCTGTCTCCAGGGTCTTGCAAAGTCTGCCCCAAAAATGCACCAAAAACTAGATTAAAAACGCCGAGGCAGTTGTCATGGCTGTCTTTCTGAGACCCACCTCATGTAGGTGCTCTTTCTTTACTTCAAAAAACTTCTTTTTCACTTGCCACTCATGTTGGTCCGGGCTTGTCTTTCTTTGGCTGACCCTGGACAAGAACCCCATGAACTCAAAACTGGTATCAGATTGATTTTGAGTCCCTGTCTCCTTACACATGCAGGTTCTTCTTTGAGTCTCTCTCTCTCTCTTTTTGAAGGTACTGGGTTTGAACTCAGGGCCTCACACTTGCTAGGCTGGCACTCTACCGCTTGAGCCACTCTGTCAGTTCTTTTTGGGGGTTGGATACTTTCAAGATAGGGGCTCATGAACTATTTGCCTGAACTGGCTTCAAACTGTGACCTTCCTGATCTTTGCCTCCTAAGTAGCTAGGATTGCAAGTGGGAACCTCTAGTGCCCGGCTTTCTTTGGGTTTTCTGAAGGCTCCTTTGTACTCAGGTTCTAAGGGTTTCTTGTCCCAATGACAGGAGAATTCCTGAGGGAACTTGGGTGCTTATGGGTGGCAGGTTTTAACTATTCTCAAAGGTGTAGTATGAAGATAGAATTTACACAGCTAAGATTCTCCTCAACTTCCTGAGCCTGACCCAAAAAAAGGACTATCAGGCTATGTAGGTCAGAAAGTTTGGAGCCACTGAACTTTAAAGCTTGCTAGGCATGCAGTTAGTATACTACTTGAGTCGTGCCCTCAGCCCAACAATTATTTTTCATCTTACTTTCTCCTATGATTATGTAAAGAACTTACATGGTTGGTTCCAAAGTTTTATCTACAAAAACTATATATTCAAAGAAGTTTAGTTTTCTTCCCTGTACCTTCCATGATACTTTTTCCTTCCTTCAAATATAATTTTTAAAAAGTTATGTGCTTTATCTTTCTATTTTGCTTAAGATACAATCAAATACATATGTGTGCATAACTATTCATAACCTCCTTTTTAAACAGTAGCCTCCAGCCAGGTGTGGTGGTGCATATCTGTAATTCCAGCATTTGGAATTTTTTCTGCATTTAATTATATTTTTAATACAATTAAAGAGTATTGTTTAATTTTGTTTCACAAACTGAAAATATGTCACGTGCTTAGCTTTCATAAATTATGATACATAATGTTCATTAGAGAAGGCTTGTTTTTGCATATGGTAA